ATAATAAAAATATGTAAAAATCCACTTTGCATTGAGTTTAATACCTACACGAAATAGAAACTAGTAAGTTCACAAGTAAAAGTCTACAGGATCAGGGCCAAAGTTTGCAGCTCCATTACAGAGAAAAGTTCTTATATATTATTTGTTTACTTACTCTCCAGGTCCTCCACAATAGCAGTAACACTGCTGGACATTGGTTTTATGACCCGCATCCCACTCAAGGTCTGTTGCATTATACGGTAATGTTTGTTTCATGACTTGCAGTGCTTTGGCATTTGGTCCTTTCTTAAGCGCACCACCCCTCTGGGCCAAAACAAATACAGTAGCTTACAAAAACAATAATGTATTTCTGAAACATTCAAATCCTTTATTTTGAAAGTTACAAAAATTTGTCTATAATCAAGTAAAAAAAAGAAAATAAGTAAAAGTAAAAAAAAGAAATTGAAAGCCAAATGTCATCTATTTCTAAGATAAATATTAATTCCCAACATACAAAACTCCCATTCAGATCAAAGTTAACAAAAAAGAAATCACTGGGGAAAAAATGCTATTTCTGTGGGGTTTTTTTTGTTTGTTTCAACTTCAAAAACAAAGTATGCATGCATTATGGGATGTACTAAGAAATGTTTTTCTAGAAACACACCTTCGTTGTTGTTGCAAAAACGCACTGTCGACAGAGCCATTTATCATCTGAATCAATCACGCTGGAATCAATATTTGGTGTGTGACACAGCTGATGATAACCTGTATAAAAAAAAATGATCAACCAAAGTGTTACTAAAATGGCAAAAGAAGCTCACACAGAATTAACTATATATAATTTTAATGCAACTGCATTATCCATCATTAAGTGCCAAAAATCTGATCAAAAAGATTGGTAACACATTCAAAATGGTCTTTTAAGTTTTCTTAGTGGAAAAAATAAGCTTTACTTACAGAACAGGTGTTAGATACTTTAACATGGATTATCATTATTCACTGAGCCGCTAAGGGCTATAAAATTTAAGATCAGTTGAGCAGTCAGTCATAGCCAGGCAAACATCCTCCTTCATAAAACAAATCAAAACATCTTTTAAAATGTAGTAAATAGGAAAAAAAAAAAATCTAGTTACCTTGCCCACATTTATCACATATAACCATTTCATTCGGTGCTTCTGAATACTCTTCCTGACATATTGTACAGACCATTTCCCCACTTTCAGTGGCTCCTAGACAAAGATGAAAGTGTGGGTTTTTTTCAGATTACATCTGCAGTCGGAATGGTTACCATGCATAAGGCTTTTTTCATAATTTCAGTTACAGATACATGCATTGTAGAAACATATTGTTACAGAGCCTAACTTCCTAACAAAAATGAATTCACACATTTTGCACAGCCTATATGTGTTACAAATATTTATATCACTTATCATAGGCTATCGGATATTTATAGGCTATATATTGCCTGTTTACTATGCAGTCCATAGTTCCTTAATATCAACAATAAAAATTAAATAACTGAATAAAGAATGTAAATGCAGGCTGAAAAAGTAAAGTATAAACAAATCGTATCTGGACAAGTGGTAGGTGTTTTGTATTTACAGTAGTTTGTGCTTCTTTTCATGTAAATATATGCACAATTTCGTGCATATCCTTTTGACAGAACTGCCCAAGGTGCAGATATTGAACTCCACCACTCTTAGGAAATATGTTATTACTTCTTATGCATATCTGCAAGCATACAAAAGCACACAGTAACAGTAGAGGCAAGAAGAAAAAGGGTTAGCTTGCAAGCTGGAAACAAAACTACATCTTGCTCCAACTATACCATGTATCAATGTAAAAATCTGGATTAAAATACAAGTTATTCAATCTACACATTATCACACTCATGCACTAGAGTTTGATATTTACAATAAATGAATCAAAGATCATAAACTAGTACTATATGGAAGCAGAACAGCAGTATTTTAAAAGCTTCTCAAAAATAAAGCAGTTGATTTTTTTGCCATTATGAATACAAAGCTTCTCCCATTAGCAGATAAAGTGTTTTGTTTAAACATCAAGCATCAAAACATTAATTCAAGCATTAAACATCAAGCATCAAAACAGCAAGATCCAGATCAGATTTTCATTGCCTTTATATGATGAGGAAATTTTAACTGATTTTCAGAAGAAACTGTCACTGAAATTGTCATCCATGCTTCGTTAGCATTAGATTATCAACATACTAGCTACTCCCCAAATATCTGTAAAAATCAAAGCTAATATACAATAGATGTCTCACTTGATAACTGCACATTTCTTTATACCACATGAATACTCCAAAATCTGTAATGGTTTCTTATGTGCAACAGTTATGGTGTTACTTTTAAATGTGAAAACTCCATTCAAACCTAGGATTTCCCAGTCTTTGGTTTCTTTCCACGTCATGTTGTTTCAACTGAAAACAATAGGAGGACATAAACTCGGTGTAAATTAGGGCCTGGAGTTTTCTGTTAAGACAGAGTCTTATACTCTATCCCCATCCAAATAAATTCAAATGTGATTATTTTTAGAAGTGTTCTCCCCTCCCTGCACATAGTTATGTGAAAACAAAAAAAACCAAAACAAAACAAACTGCAATGATAAGAGTTGTTTGAATTTTTTTTTTTTTTTTTTTTAATTTCCCTAATTCATGATCCTGGGTCACATTAAACTGTATCACTCTTTAGGATACAAGAATATAATGTAATCATTTATTTTAACAGATATAGTAATCTAAACAAAATACCAAACAATGACTACTTCACCGAAGTTCTTGCCTGTTTGTATGTCCTTCCAGAGAACCCAGGATTTGGAACTGTCTTCAAATATAATGAAGCAGTTCTGTTTCAGTTTGTTTATCTGAAAAACAAAAATACAGTGGAAGCCATGAGTAAAAGGACTAAACAGAAGAATGTGTTTAATACTAAGTGAGACAACAACACTGTAATATTTAACCAACATATGATACTGTAAGACTCCAGGGAGTTAAAAAATTGTTTACCTTTTTGATAGTTCCAAGATAAAACAAGCCATCTGACCATCTAGCTAGGACATCCTGACCCTCTTCAAATTTACACAGTGGCTTTTTGGCTTTCTGTCCATCACGTAACGACAGCTTGGTCAGAGATGCTGAGGTCTTATGGCTTCGACGTAAAGGAGACCGCTTATGGACCAGTGAATTACCCACCGCTGTAGAGTCTCTAAAGAAAGAGAAGCAAAATAAAAGGTAATCAGAATTAGGTTACAGTAAGAAACCATGTATTTTAAATATTAATATGATTCACAGCTAGAACTCACTTAGCTAACTCCAGAACTTCAGTTAACTAAAAACCTGGTCATGTTTTCAGACTTCACGCACTTTTAGTAGCAGTGCCTCTGCTACTGTAAGAGTCTACAAAATTCGAAAGAGACAAGTTTATATAAAGAAAAACCTCCCATGAAATCAACTAATATAAGTGAGGATGGGACACAAACTGTCTAGCTCATAAACTCTTCATGCAGTCACCACAAGCGTCAAAGAATGCATCAAAAACATTCAATGCAGGATTACTTATGCAAAACATTAGTCGCTGACAGTTTTCTAAAATTCCAAGGAAGTTAAAAAGGGCCTAGGCCATTTGTAACTACATTACCTTGGTAGGGAGAGTAGTAGTTGTTGACAATTAACATGGTACTCAGCAGTTACCTACTCAGAATTAAAAACAAAAACAAAACCACACACAACAAAAACATAGCAGGGAGCGGGAAGAAACCAGGTTGAGCACTATCCTAACTCAGGGTCTAGACTAACTCAGGAACCTCCAACACGGCATCATGCTCTGCCACTAAGCATAGCCGTACAGGTTTTCAGCACAGGAAGAATTTCTACACGTTAGACTTCTAATGCAAAGCAAGTCTTCTTAAGTAAGAGGAAATTAATAAGGACAGAAAAACAAAAGATCTTGCAACCTTTCTCCACACATGAAACTCATAATTTTGAGTTACTTGAATCAATAACCATTTTTCCTCATACAATTCCACAATATATAGCCTATTTGTATATAAGTGTGAATATGTTTCTATGTCAGACCAGCTACCAAATACTACACTCCAAGTAAAGGAATAAAATATAGAAAATTATAAAATAGGACTAGATAATGCATAAGGAAGAATCTTCCTAAGTAAGAGGCAGAATTTGAGACTATAAAACAAAGTTACCACTCCTATATCCAAATGTATTTTCACTTTAGAAACTAAATGTATAACTATGACGCAAAGACAAGGACAGATCAGGGAATTAAATAGGCTAGAGTCAATTGAACGAGCAAAGTTTCACCTCACTCAAGATAGCTTAGGTACATTATCAACACCAGAAACATTTGAATTAATCACAACGCACCAACAAAACCAGCAAATGAATCAGTGTCCCATATAGTTTGATGAGAATTACTATTCAGATGTTAGAGAAGTTACTCTAAAGTTTCAAAGAGAAGGGAATCCCTTCTCCCTAAAAAGTTTACTATTTAAGTTCAATATGAAAATAAACCTGGAATTATAATGGCTTAAACATCAAAAATATGCAAAAGTTAATATTCTAGAGAGCAATCGACAACTTTTTTTTTCTCTACTAAACAGTTTAAACCAAGAAGGTTAGACACAAGAAAATTAGACAGCTATTTTAAGCATTTTTATAATCAGTATAAGTCTAAACAATGACACGACAGTAAGAGCAGCCACAATGGGCCAGACAAGTGTTCCACCTAGCCCAATAACTCTGGCATCCTCATGCACAACTGGGTCACCAGTCTAAGTCCTGCCTGATCCCAAATACAAAAATACTCAGACAGGTGACTAGGGAAGACCAGAATAGCACAAAACTTAGAACAGCACTCCTCTCCCAAGTATTCTCTAGGTCTCTTACAGGCTGTGGACCCAAAAAATCTCAAGCAGTAATGTCTTCACTTTTTTTTTTAGTCCTTAATGGAATTCTCTCCTGCAAGTTTTCCTCCATGTTTTGCTGAACCTGTAAAGCAGCACTTCTTTTGTCTTGTTTCACAGCTGGCACCTTGTCACTTCATTTGACACCCTTCATCATCGCATCAGAAAACTAAACTGTCATTTTCCATCTTCTCCCTTCAGGCCCCAGTAACAACATTTAGACCCACCCAGCCATATTTCCCAGATAAAGAATCCTATCAGTTCTGCTGCTTCTCACGTGAAAGCTGTTTAAAGTTACTGCTGCTCTTCCCCAGTTCTACTCTAACCTCTGATAAATGGGACAGGATGCATGCAGCATTCAAAATACGTTTACAATAACAAGGTAATAGCATGGCAGCCCAGGCCATTTTTTATTCTTTGCTCCTTTCCAATTAATAACACATGTAGCCTTCCCCCGCTCTGCCACTGCAATCACGCATTGAGTTAAAAATTTCAAAGAATGATTAGAAATTGCAGGTTCTCATTCTAACTGCTCCCAGACTATTGTTTCTCTTCCCACAGTGTCTTACTTCTGTTTGCACCAGATTTCATTCGCCACTTTATTATCCAGTCACTCAGTAGCTTGAAGTCCTTCTACACTTTCTACATTATTCAGAATAACCTCACACCCTTAGAACATTTCATCATTTAAATTTACCATCTTCTGTACATCACTATAAGATTTTGCCCCTTATCTTGTACAGTAGCTTAAATTTTTGCAAGGGCCTCTGAAGCAGGGCCCCAGCCCTTAACACTTGTCACAACCACACTCTACTCTCTCCTTTATATCTGTACAACAGTTTACACACCCAAGTACCAAGCAGGCTCAGAAACAAATGTGTCTGAAGTCAGCCAGCCAAGAGAGGAAAAAAATGGGTTTACCTTCATCAGTTCTCCAAACCTTTCTGACTACACATATGTCCAGCATAGCACAAAGCAAGCAATGTTCAAAGGCTAGGCAAGGCTTGATCAAAACAGCCTAGAAATAGTTGTGAAACTATAACCTGGTCTCAGCCATTAATTCTTTTCTTGGAAAGGACTCATCATCACAAGGTATTAAAGTATTTAGGTACTTCAAATTACATATAGGAACTTGGTTTAGCATATTAAATGGGTCAATAAGTTGCCATGTGAGTTCGAAGCACCTAAAGCAAATTCACTAGTGCACCTTGAAACAGTTTAACAAGTGTTTTGACAGGACCATTCTCTTCTGGAGGTGCAAAGATTTTCTTTCCAGCTTTTTACCTGGTTTGATTGAAGAGACTAGAGAAAGCAGCTAAAAGGTAGAAACATTGGCTCTTCTTTTCCAGTACTTGAAAAAAAGGTGTGAAAGATCTTGCACAGAAAAGACACAAGCAATTCATTTATTATACATAATCTAGTACAGATTTCCATTTAAAAACCAACAACTATTTTTATGACGTTTATATTTAAAAGTCTTCAAAAGCATATGACAGTCTTAAGTACAGAAGTTTGTCCCATAACTCCATTCAAATTATAACAAAAACACGTTGTGCATCATTTTCTGGCACAAAGCACTTAAATGAGTCTATACATTGACTTCTACAACAGCCTAAACTCACAATAGCTACTTCAGACACTGAAGGATCTTGACACACAGTAAAGGTCTGAGCCAATAAAGCAGACACTTCTCCATTGTCCACGTTGCTCTCTTTGTGGGAGATGGCACTGCTGAAGTGAGACTAAGCAGCTCATGAAGCAGCTCCTGCTGTGGCAGTTTATGGTTAATCTAACACATAGACTGAAAATAGGGTTAGTTATCACAATAGGCTGACACTTGGAGATAGCTTAACAGTTGCTTTCCACATGGATAAGAAGTTCCTCTTCAGGGAAACATTCCCTCAGTGCTTTTGATGGAGATTAAGTGGGAAGAGCTACTGTTTTAACAAGTTGACATTAATTAGCAAGCCATAAGTTACTTAAAGTAGGTGTCTCTGAAGTGCCTTCTGGAATCACTGCACAAGAAATTCAGTGCAGACCGGCATAAAACTATGTGCCTAAAATACCAATAACTTTCTTGTCTGTCTTGCCACAGCTCTCTCCACTGTAGTGGAGAACCAAAGAGTCACACCAACCATTAAACTTCCAACAGAAATTTTATTTAAGTGAAAATGCAAACTGAGGTTAACTTCTGGTTTGCCAATTTTGAAATTAATTTGAAGCTTCCACATTTTCCAGAAGCTTGCTTTGATGTCTTCCCTAAAGTTAGCTCCATAGCACCTTCCTACCTTACCATTTATAGTTACCAACAAAATTCATAACCCTGAAGTAACAACTTCCCCACCATCTTAAAAACTTCTCTCCAAGAACTTCTCATTGCAAAATATCCAACAGATGTCTTGTTTTTCAGAAAAAAACTTATCTGATATAGAAGTCTACTTCATCTCATTTAACTTGCACAATTAAGCTACACCGCATGTCATACAGCATGTCCAACCTACCTTGGCTTTACACCCTTTACTCCATACTGACTATGTTGTGGCTATATTCTTACTCAAGCACTTAAAATGCAAAGAAAGTATTTATGCACCCATATAATCTTTCAGAAGTTAGTGGGGGAAGTCAGTAAAATGTGTCTACATGTTGAAATATGCCTCAAAATAGAAGTGCACTTTCACCATTTCTTGAGAAGTTGATCTCGTGAAGTACTGAAAACGCTCACTGATTTTTCACCTTGGGGTCTAGATCATAACCACAGATATTCTCAAGCAAAACAGGCAGAAGACCTTCTATTCATCTGCTTAATGAATTAGTTTATAATATGCTGCAGCAGCAGGAGAGCTGTCATTCTTTGTCAACAGGAATGGCAAACTCCCTCTGAAGTTAAGCTACCTAAAGCTGTCCAATTTGTGAACCGTGGCAATTTACTATGCGTAGCATTGTATTTATCAAAATCAAAATTAGTTTTCTGTTGGTTTTGACTTGTTCATAACTCTAACCTCTTTATAAGAGGTTAGAAAATTTCAATGTTAATTTGGTGTCTCTGACTCCTGTATCTCCACAGCAATCCTACAGAAAGAAAGAGTGGAAAAGGTAAGGAAAAAGATGTGAAGAGGCTGGAGGATTAAAAAAACCTGAGCGCTCTCCCTCTTGTTTCCAAGTGTCTTTTTCCTCAGCAGCACTGCCAGGTTAAGGTCGTTCATACTCCTGTACTCCTTCAGTTGTAACAACTGCTGTGAAACAACCCCTAAGAAAAACTCCCTTGACAGAGTTATTTTTTCCAGCCATCTCGGTTCACTGATTTGGTTCACAGAATGGTTTGTCAGCACAACAGAACAAATGCAAACAAGCAACGTGGGACACAAAACTCCCTCAACTGGCACTGCCAGACTGCATGACTGAACCACAGACAGTTTCACTGACAATCCATGCAGTTTCAGGACATTTCTTCCAGAAGGGCTGCCTGATTCACAAATTCTGCAACACTAACAGATGATAGCTACCCTATGAGCAGACATAGTTTTTAGAAGCCAATTTCAAGATACTAAATTTTAACAACTAAGTGCCCAAAGCATATTAAGAGAAAATTTTAATCCACTGAGACAACTCATAAAAGTGGGACCTACATTTATCCCCAGTAAATACAAATCACACTGAAGGGAAGATGAGTTTGGAGAGCACAGCAGATTTAGCAGAAGGAAATCCAGACTAGAAATAACACACACAGAGAGAGCATCCTACTAAGACAACTCACATTGGTTTAGGATCTCTCTCTCTCAAAACTGGAAAATGTGGTATCACATAGGAGAGGAAAATCTAATGAAAGAACTTCTGATAACTAGAGATAACCAGTTCAAGCTCTGGAAGTGCGATGTTACTGTTGATTAATTGCAATTGATGTGTCTGAAGTTACAGACAAACGACACTTTTAAAGAAAGCTGAACTAGGAAGGGTTGTAAAATACCTGCAGGCTGTTCTGCTCTCCTTAAAACAGGACAGTTAACATCTCACAGGGAATGGGGTGGTGGGGGTCTAGCAAGGGCTCAGAACACACAAAACTGAGGGCAGTTTCACACGTGGCTTTACGCAATACAGCAGCTTGCTGCCCTCCCACCAGCTCTGGGATGACAGGCAGACTTCTCCGTAAGCTTTCTATTCAGTTTTCTTTCCCTTAATTAACTTTCTGATATTTTAAACACACTAAAGAACCTCACAGAAAGGTCTGGTGACTAGACAAGCCAGGTAAGCAGCAAGCACTCACAGCCAGAAGACAGCAGAAAAGGGAAATGAGTCTTTTCCAAGCGCCACAATCTTAGCTGCTTCACCCAGCACCGCACGACCAAGCCCAAGTCACACCTCCAGCGTCGCTGCTAACCTGTGACTGGGATCCAGTACCTCCGTTAACAGGCGGAGAGATCCTGGATCCCAGTCACGCGTTTCTTCCCATCTTCCTTGTGTCTTCTCTGCCATTTATGAGATCTCATGCCAAACATTATCTGTTCACTGTGTCAACCATACCTCCCTCCCCCAAATAAAAAGATTCTGCTGGGCCAAGACGACAGACAGACTTAACGGGATACGTCCTCCACCGTACCCCAGGGCCAAACTTAGGATCAGTCTGATTCAAAACCCAAAAAGTTTGCTTTGCTTTTCATAATAGCAACTTTGTTGCAACAGTCACTGTTCCAATTATACATGAACAGGCTATTGTATTAGTAAATTACCATGAATGTCTTTCAAGCAGAGGATCCAGTACAAATCTAGATTACAGTCTATACTTTCACGCTACTTCAAGTAGCCATATGAATATTGAGCTTCCAATGTGCCGTGCCATAGAACACCTACAAGGTACACTTTGAGTTCCTTACCTTTACATTATTTTGTATTCTGGTACAATCAAAAGCCTAAGCCACATCACCAACTGTACAGAAGAAGGATAAAGGGACTCTAACCTAGGCATCCCTCAGTCTAGAGAAGCAAAAAGTGATGGTTGGGGGATAAGAAATACATTCTCCAAACCATTATCATTTGTTACTGTAGTTCAGGGTAATAGAATAATTCAGGTTAGAAGGATGCCAGAAGTTCTCTAGTCCTGCTCAGTGTAGCATCAGCCATGAGGCCAGACCAGGTGGCTTTAGCCAGTCAGCCCTTGAAAGCCTCCAGTGATGGAAGCCACACCACCAACCCAGTGGGGCCCCTGTTCCACCACTTGTCTAGTTTGCTGTCTTTCACAGAACATCTAACGAGTTCCGTGTAGAAGGAAATAATTACTTCCCCTCAATCTTCTGGTTCTGTTCCTGTTAATACAGCCCAGGATACCACTTGCTTTTGCTCACAGGACACACTGCTGGCTCACGTTCTGCTTTCTGTCTGTCAGACTCCCAGCCAACCTTAGCCTGGGGTTCTTCCTTCAGATGCAGGACTTTGCTTTTTGTCTCTGTTGAATTTCATGAGGTTCCTGTCAGCCACTTCCTTCAGCCTTGCTGAAGTTGAGGTGACAGCCACTCCTCTCCCCTCATCCACAAATCCTGCCATTTTAAATACAGAAGGTGGTCAGGTTGGTCAGGCCGTGATTTATCCTTGGTAAATACATGGAAAGGTGGTGACTGGGAACAGTCAGCATGTGTCCAGAGATGTCTTCCAGGAAGATTTGCTCCATTACTTTCCTAGAGACGACAGTGAAGTTAACCACCCTGCGATTCCCTGGGTTGAACTTCTGGCCCGTTCCGAAGACAGGTGTAACATTTGCCCTTCTCTAATTGTTACAGATTACCCCTGTTCTCCAGAACCTATGATGGTAAAGAACAGCCCCCAAGAACATCACACAGTTATCTTGGTGCTCTTGAAAGCAGCCTGTCTGGTCCCATGGGCCTGCATGACTCAAGTTCACATGTTTGCTTAAATACGTTCAGCAAGCCAATTCACAGGCCGCTCAAGCAAGCAATGCTTAACAAATCCATCATGGATAGAAGTTAAAGTATCATTTAAGGCGGAAAAACTTTGTCCTATCAATGATTTCAGGGCAGCCACGCTACATAAAGCTGCTCTTTGTCAGCAAGATGAGAAGTTGTAACTTGTTTACTTCTCAGCTCTACCCAGTCAACCATAACGCCACCCATCATGATCATATGTGATCTTCATGCAATTCATTACGATCCCAATAGGGCTGCTGTTGGGGTTTTTTTTTAATCCTTTGAAAGAGGCTTAGATTTTGGCTATGATTTTTGCTCTGAATTCTTCTGTCTGGTTAGACACTGTAAAGAACTCTCTAGTAATCACAGAGTATCTTTTCATTGGTGTGTTTTCTTAAATAGCTCTATGCTTTCAAAAGTATATCCATCACATTACCTGACAAAAGTAGTAAGTTTTGCTCCTAAAAAAAAAAGTTGTAATAAGAACTAAGTGAGCCTCTGCAGCCCATTCAGCTGATTAGCAGTTAGGTCTATGAATCTGTGGCATATTAGAAAGAAGTTCAGCCAGGAGACTGAGGGGAGATGATTATTTCTTTGTACACAGAAGCTGTTAGATGGCATCTAGAGTACAGTGTTTTGGTTCTCCCAGTGCAAGACAGGCATCGAACTAGATGAGTTTGGTGGAGGGCCACCAAGACAGTCGGGGACTGGAGCACTTGCCCTATGAGAGGAGGCTGAAGGAACCGGGCTCATTCAGCCTATAGAATAAAAGGCTTCAGGGAGACCTAAGAGCAGCCTCCCAGCTCCTATGAGAAGGATAACATGATGGAATTAGTCTCTTCACATTAGTGCATGGCAGGAGGACAAGTGGTAACACAAATGTTGAAATAAGAGAGGTTCTGATGGGTATGGGAGGGAAGTGTTGTGGGGTTTTTTGGCGTTTTTTGGGTTTTGTTCCACCCCCATGAGGGCAGTTCAGTAGTGGAACAGGGGCCCCAGGGTGGTTGTGTGGCCTCCATCACTGGAGGTTTTCAGGGGCTGACTGGATAAAGCCACCTGGTCTGGCCTCATGGCTGATGCTACACTGAGCAGGACTAGAGAACTCCTGGCATCCCTTTTAACCCGAATCATCTTTCGACCCTGTGAAGTATGACTGTCCATAGTAAGATTGATTCGTACTATTAAAAAGAGGAAGCCACCAGGATAAGTGCATTCTCATGTCCGCAATACTGCAACTACTTGTGATTTTGGTTTTACTTGCTCACATTCTCCCTCAAGAAATAATAAACAACTAGAAGCATTTAAATTCTATTTGATATGCAAAGTGAAAGCATTAGTCTTGAGAAGATCATTACAGAATAACGTATTTCCCTGCATATGTAGGGATATAGGGTCAGGCAGTCCTGTACTGCAAGAGCCATTTGTTTGGGATTGATCATGTGTTTGTACACAAAGAGAAGAGGCAGAAGGTAGAATCCGGGAGAGAACAATGGTGTCAGGTTGCAACACACCTTTTCAGAACAGATCTTCCCTTAATTGTATACTTAGCACCTCCTTGAACAAAACAACTGCCTTTTGGGTTTCTACAGTATCCAAATAAAGGATGCCCAGCAACGTATCTAGGGGAGTAAGTGTAGTACAGGCATACACACAAGCAGTGAAAGAGATAACAGGCACCACGCTGACTTGCACTGGGGGGAGGGGGGGAAGGAAAAGGATTTCAGAGGTGATCAAAACCCCCCGAAGATAAATTTCCTTCTTTAAGGCTAGTGTACAAGAACAGCAAGATTCATAAGCACTCCACAGGAATAAATTAAAAATAAATCATTCTAAAGCATAAATTAAGTATTATCATCCTCCGAGATATTTAGTGAATGAAATATGTGCAGACTCATCAGGAACGCTCTCATCACTAGCTCTCTTCCTCTCAAAGAAAATTAAGCTTCTTGATTTCACTCCTCCACAGAGGTTCCACCTTCCCAGAAGAGACCATCAGCTTGAAGTCTAGAGCGTTCAAAGTGTAAATTCAACTAGTTTCAGTGCTTTCAGTAACAGGTATCACCCTGCCCAAGGACCCTCCAGCAATACCCGTGGTTTTATAATTCATCTCCTGGTGTGTTTTACTCAAAGACACACTTCCCCTCCATTTCCTGCAAGGAAGGCCTGTAAAGAAGGTGAAACCAACTCTGCAGCGAGCTCAAAGGTCAATCACACAAAAAGTACTGTCAATTCACAAACTACAAGGAGGTTTGTATTGGCTTCTAGTCACACGTGTTTCTTCCCTCCACGAGCTTCCTCCTCCGCAACTACCATGAGGAGCGCAAAATATGCTTTAAAGCAATTTTAGGTGCCTCTAGTACTATATTCATTCACATCCAACTCCAGGGAATACAGAAGTCCACTCTCTACTAGGAAATGAACTGCAACTTATTTGTTACAGCTGCTCTCCTCGTACACTTTACCTGATCTCCTAATGCAGGGAAGGACAAATGTCACTGTATCTGAGGCCAGCCTTGGTACTAACTACCTTTCTTTCACCTATTTAAAAAAATATATACCTCAACAACTGGTAACTAGACATATTAAGCCAACTTTTGAGACTCAGCCTACATCCGATTTAAAATTCCTCCCAGATTAGAAAAGACAAGTTGTTGAAAAGCCACACACCTATATTTCACAAAATAAGAGTTAACCGTGGAAAACATTACTACATTGTACTCTCAGCATAGATCCACATTTCACCAGCTTGTAGCTCCTTGCAAAGATCCTTCTCGCTTTCACTACTTTATTACGCACCTCCTTTCATATTTTCAGTCTTTCTTTTCCCTTATTCTCCTTCCAGTAAAAAGCTATGAAGCTGTTAACCTGTATTCTAATACTATAGGAAGCAAGATTTTTTTCCTTCTTTTAACCTCAAATGCTTTAAAACTAATTGTAATTTAAGCTCTCAAAAGAGGGACAAACATTAACTTGTTAACTTTTGCCAACCTGATTACAGACCAAAAATAAAAAAAAAAACCCCAAAACAGGGAAACTGTTCTCTTATTACCCCGTGCTTTTGACAGTTTAGGTACAAAGCACTGATTACTTTCCCTTACACCAAGTCAGGAAAAAAATCACACCATTATCCATTACTGTTTGGCCTTTTAAAGTCATGAGCAGGGCCTAACTATCAGAAATTCAAGAAACCAGCATAACACCGCACAGCCTTCCTGGCAGGCCCTTTCACTTAATTACACAGGCCCTCTCCTTTAAATAGCACGCAGATACTTGATGGGTGGATGATAGCCCCTGGTATTTCAACACCAATATCAGCGTCCGGAGCATCCAACACAACACCATATTGTTCTCTTTGACTAAGGAAAGTAGCAACCCGTCCTCCCTACGGAATCCAAATAGCAAAGAAAAGAAAACGCGTTATTGCACGTCCTTTCAGCCAGCAACAGTTACCGTGTTTTAGCGGAGTAAAAATGTAAGCTTCTGGGGGCATTCAAATCCCTGCTCACTGCAGGGGGGTTGGGCTCCATGATCTCT